TTCCTGGTCAAAAGTAGACAGATTAGTAGGAATGTTTTTCTGATTTATGTAAAGAAGAAGATAGTTGATAGATAAAAAGATTTATAAAAAAGAAAGGGTCATTTATGAGGATAGATCGATGTCAGTGAGGGGTGTCAGTGGACAGTTGGAAAGATAAGTGTGAATGTCGTGTTCCTTTACATGTTGTGAAGTGTAGAGTGTTGTATAAAAAATGGGAATTATGTTTGAAATACCTTCCCGGATTGTACAAATATCCCCCTTAAATTTTCAAGTTTGTTTATGCATTTATTCCCATTTTTTATTTCTGTTTCTTTATACATGTGAACATTTTCTTCGTCAGTATTTACATAATCAATACAACCCTTCGTTGCTAAAGTTTAAAAATGTTGTTCTTTTTTTCTTTCTTTACATAATATTGACTAATAATCCTTACAAATTTAGCCCTAACGACTTTTTCCCCTCCTCCCACCAATTCAGGTAATTTTGAAAGCTAAGTTTTTGATCTTGCCTAAAAGTGTGAAATAGTGATTTTTAAATGAGAACTGAATAAAATAGATTAATTTAATTTGAAATAACCCCTCCCCAGCTAAATGTTTTAATGTTTATCTGTAGAACAACTGCTTTGTGATTTGAACTATTTACAGGAATGTGTGAGACATTTGTACAGTGTTGTGCTAGTGATTTATTGGTTACATGTTGACGTTTGCTAGCGCGTTCCGTGATTAAGATTTAAACTTATGAGGAAATCAACTAATTTATCGCAAATTCCAGTTAGGAAAATCACCGAATGTTCAAATTCGTAAAAAGCGTAATTGAATGTGAATAGAAAAATAATCAATTAGTGAAACAATGGAAATCGATATTTAAATTGGATTAATCGTTTCCATTGATAATTAGTCACGGAACGTGTCATATTTATCTTTTTATCTTATTATCCGTCGACGGCGGATTAACGTTAATTAATACGTAACGAAACAAAGTGCCGGTTTAGAGACTAATTAACTATTTTGGGACTTGATTTCGATGCCGAATTGCGGTTGAGAGGGGTGCCGGTTTATCCCCTATATATGATATAGTGATTCGGCCGGGATTTTTCAAATGTAACGGTTAACAGCGGAATCCGGTTTATAGAGAATGCGGTTTAGAGGTGTTTCACTGCATATATTTTCAGAAATTATACAAAAAGTTGGTCTAGATCGGCTGGGTACTTTTCTTTGTCATGTTATGTTTAAGTAGATCGGAAAATAGATTATACTTCCACTGGCAGATTTGGTTTTGAATGAAAATATTTGTAACAATCACCAGTCATAAACTTTAAGGGTGATACTGAAAAATATTACCAAGTTTTATCAAAATCCGACAGGAATCGTGGCTTTTATTGTTTACATGCATACTAAAAATGTTTTGATTTTCAATAGGGTTCATCCATGGGTGATAACAAACATTCACGCCAAGTTTCATTAAAAACAGTCAAGAATTGTGCCTACTAGAGTTTTTACATGCTAAACAATTAAAGTTTTCAAGAACAGGGGCAATAACTCATACTAAATATTTTTCTGATTTTTGACAGGGTTTATCCTTGGGTGATAGCAAACACTTCTAGAGTGTGTATGTGCTAAAAATTGAACGCGTTTTCAAAACAAGGTCAATAACTCATACTCAAGTTATTTTATTTTTCTGATTTTTGAAAGGGTTTATCCTTGGTTGATAACCTCTCACACACTGTTTCGTCAAATCGGACAAGAATTGAGACTTCAAGATGGTTTTCAAGAACAAGGGCAATACATCATACTAAGTATTTTTCGATTTCTCTAATTTTCGATAGGGTTATTCCTAGGGTTATAACAAAACACTCACACCAAGTTTCGTCAAAATACATTAAGAATTGTACCTTCTAGAGTGTTTACGATCATTTCAAGAACAAGGGCAATAATTCATACTAAATATTTTTCGATTTCTCAACTTTCAATTGGGTTCTACCTTGGGTGGTTACAAACACCTATACAAAGTTTCGTCAAAATCAGTCAAAAATTGTGCCTTCTAGAGTGTTTACGAGCAATTGTGGACGGACGGACGGACATGGGATACGCCAATAAACGCTCCCATTTTGTGTTCAAATATCTATTAGCACTGTGTTGTTTGAAATGTGCAGTCAAACTTGTATCAATGGCCACACTTATTCAGCACGTGATCTTGAATTAACGGCCACCAAATATCTCCCGGTTCATTTTTAAAAACCATGGTTCGCTATTTTCGGGAGTTGATCTGGATCTTGAATTTTTGTAAATTTGTAATTTTTTGAATGTAAATAGTCTAGATCTGCACGAAAATCGCATAATCCCTACAAATATTTACCACGAGCTAGAAAGTTGAATTTCTATATATGATTATCTCAATATGGCAGAGTCGCAAAAAAAGACGAGTCATCATTTTTACTTTCAAACGCGGATTATTCTAGACACACAGGGATTTAAAAGCTCAAATTTCGACGGTTAGCTGTAATACTATTACTATCATTAATAGTCGTTAAGATATCAGTAGCTGATGAGAAATATTATATAAAAATCTTGCACTACGCCATGATTATTGATCGACTCAGCTCGCCTCTTTATCACGACACTATATTCCACTCAACATTTTCTAGCTTACAGAATTCTTCGTGCTGTATCAGAAATGGTGGATGATAATATATACCTACGAGTTGAATAGCATAATGTACAAGGTGTTGTAACTTTGTACTGTGTATCATTTTTAATACGTGTGTAAACTTGAGGATTTCAGCTTCACAAAAGACTATAATGTAAATCGCAACACAAGATTTAAAATGTACGGACTATTGATACAATCTATTGTGGACTATATTCTCAGTGAATATGGTGCAGACGTATGGGAGAAAATACGACAAGAGTGTGTTTTTCAACAATCTAATATTTCACCCCATTTAATCTATGGCGAAAACGTTATAGGTGACCTTGCAAAAACAGCTTCTGTAGTTACGGGAGTATCGATTGACAGCCTAATGGATTCTTTTGGAGTTTTCTTCGTTAGATTTGTTGGTCAGTTTGGATTTGATAGAATTCTCAAGGTTTTAGGACGTCACATGCGAGACTTTCTAAACGGATTGGATAATTTACATGAATATTTACGATTTAGTTATCCTAAACTAAATCCACCTTCTTTTTTCTGTGAAAGTGAGAATAAGAATGGATTAACCCTCCACTACAGATCAAAAAGAATAGGATTTTTACATTATACAAAAGGTCAAATTAGAGAAGTGGGGCGTCTTTTTTATAACACGAACATAGATATCTATGTCATATCAGAAGAAGTAATAAATGGGACATCACATGTTGTTTTCAAGTTGCTGTTCGACAACAAAGCTTTTTTAGATTCAAGAACAATGCTGATTGATAACCTAATTAAAGACATTCCGTTACATTCCGAAAGTCTTTTTGAACTTTTTCCTTTCCACATCGTTTTTTCTCGAGGTATGGTGGTAAAGAATATAGGAAATGGATTAGAAGCGACAATGCCCAATCTTTTAGATACAAAGTTATTCCAACAATTTAATGTGTCGAGACCTTTGGTAGAATTTACGTGGGATGGGGTAAGAAATACCTTTTACGTCTTAATTATAATTCATACGTATATTATTGTCACAACCCTTGTCCATCCAGCCACGAATACATGTTTACATACTTATCCGATTACGACGAAACATTTATTTATTTGGTATGCACACGATTACGTTCGAGAATTGTTTTGATGGACAGGTGCAAAGTTGAAATAAGCAAATGATTTTATTCATTACATATAAGTACACAATCTAAAATACACAAACAAAAGTTATTATTCTCGATCATTTGATTTACATAATCTTCTTGATTAAGTATTAATCTCTACACCAAACTAGCACTCACTCTCTTTATTCATCTCATTTCATCTTTCAAATTTATTATCCCAAGAAAGAAAGATACCTTACCAGGCAAGGTAACATACGCCCACTGGCAGCTGTCAGAGGTGATAACTAAATCTTTATGGACCAAAAATATATAATGGATCTTAATAATAATACGTATTTTTTCGCATTGAAGATCATTATGTATTTGTAATTCAAAAACCCCGAATTCCTTATCAATTTAGGAACAGTTCTCCTGAGTTTGTCCACAAATCTTTACTCATTAATATATGCCTGCATACCAAGTGTTATCAGGATCAGATAAAAACTGTAGCCCATCGTGTTTACAAGTCAAATTTGATTAATTTTTTTTACTAAGTCTAGGGCAATAACCTTTCTTTCAAAATGAGCCACATTCATACTTGAAAGTGATTCATTACTATCAGATAAAATCTGTAGCCCCAATTATGTTTACATGGCAAATTAGACACATTTAACTAAATCAAGGGAAATAACTCAAAAACAGTCATAAAAAATAAGCCAAATTAAAACTTGACTATCATTTATTGAATATATCTATGCATGAGAAATTTCATTTAGATGTGATAAAAACTCTAGCCCCTATCATGTTTACAAGTCAAATTTGGTCAATTTAAGGGCAATAATTCAAAACCGTTCATTCAAAATGAGCCGTATTTAATCTTGTTCAAGATCTTATCAATATATACATGAATACAATTCTTCATCAAGATCGAATGTAAACTGTAGCCTCTATCGTGTTTACAAGCACATTTGATGCGTTTATCACTAAGTCAAGGGCAATAACTCAAAAATCAATTTCGACCTTGACTGCAATTGTATCCATTCAGATGCTCACACAGTTTCTTAAAAATATATTGAGAATGGTAGCTTCTACTGTGCCCACATATTTTTTTTTTGACCAATTGTACGAAGTCAAGTGCAATAACTCAAAACCGTTCATCGAAAAATCATCAAATTCGAACTGGACTGCCATCTTATCAATTCCAATGCTCACACTAGGTTTCATCCAAAACCCCATTGAAAATTGTAGCTTTTATTCTGCCACAAATGAATTTTGACGCGATTTTACCAAGTCAATGGCAAAAACTGAAAAACCGTTCATCAAAAAATCGTCAAATTCGAACTTTGCCAACAATCCCAATGCTCACACCAAGTTTCATTACAATCAAATGAAAACTGTAGTCTCTATTGTGCGCACAAGAAATGTTGATCGACGGACAGGGGCGACGACAATATACGACTGCATATTCATGTGGGCGTATAAAAATAAATACAAGATACTTTCTTATTTTTAGGACATTCATACTATAGAAATATATCAACAAAATGTTACTATTCCTCTTAGGCTTCGTTGTGGTTTCATATCGATCGACCGCTGTTACCTTCAATCCGACATTCAGAGAGTAGGTTGCGTTTCATCATATCATGTTGAGGAGCATATAAAATAGTGGTCATAATATGTTCCGAACTCTGCGTGTGTATGCTTGTTGTGTACCTCAAACCTATATAAAAGTTGTCCTCACACATGCGCCAGTAATATATTTGTATAGAAAACAAACGAAATGAAAATTAACAGTTTTCTCAATTTGTAACCTTAGCATTCCTTCATCACAGCGATTACCAGTTGGGTATGGTTGCTAATTCTGGTCAAATTAAGTCAATCGTAACTCACTGGCAACTAATAGGTTTTATAGTTTGAAGAATGCAACAAGCACGCTTGTGATTGTCGACGAAGAGTAAGTAAGGAGACTTTGAACATATTCAATATTCTCTGCGAACAGCTAGAACAGGGCACTCTCCATGTGACCAAGCCTCTGCCAACCCCTCTTCCTTATGCACATACTACGACCATCAAGCCTTTACACTCCGCATATCAAGCCATATATCTCCTCGAACTAGATCACAGTCAGTACCCAATCCTGCCTTTTTAGCACCTCAAAAGCCAGTACCAATTACTCCGTCGAGAATTATTACTTCCGCTACCAAACCATTTTATCACCAAAACCAAGTATCCAATCATCATGGAATCTTCCTGACGTAAAGAATTGGAACTGATCTCAACAGCCCAACAGTCTTTCTCTAACGCAAAGATCATTACATGTATACCCATCTCCACAATATTTACACAAAAAAAACAGCAAACAACCTTTATTTGTTTTGGGAAAGTCAGCATCTAACATAGCGTAAGCCTTTAAACTAATTACTAGGGATAAAAAAAGACCCCCACTAGGATAAACTGTAGTGAACTGGAGCAATACAATTCTAAATCCCCTTCAACATTCAATTTTAGATACCTAAAGTCTATCGAACGATTCCTTAGCTGCACATATTTTTTCCGCAACCACTCTCCACGTGGTGCTAGAACTGTGATTGTTCCAAAAATCCAGATATGGCTGTCATACATCCAGAAATACTGAAAAATGAACAGCCAAATTTCTTAGCTATCTATCACACACGAGCAGTCTTATCTCACAAAAGCGTGAAGCCTTGAACCTACTCAAGAAGGACGATACCATTGTTATCAAAAAGAGTGATACAGGTTCATGTGTGCCATTTTGAATCGAGAGGATTATACTGCCTCGGCAGTTTAGTCTTAACAAGTTTTCTATAACGAAATCAACATGAATACCTATCTGCCAACCATGATTGTCGTCAGAGACATATGTATGCTAATCTCAGCCCAACATATGTTAGGTCTGGAGAGTATGCGAGAACCATTATCGAACTACACTTTAGGCGGGTTCTGACAAAATGCTAGGTCCATGTTCCAAGTATCTCTACGAATAATTAGTCTAATTTGCACCCATACTTGTCTAAATAATGTTAAGGATTCTAAGCTTTAAACACTTACAGATACAACGGCAAAATCAATATTTTGATATTTTTGATGATCAAAACCCACATGAAAAGACAAATACAAAAAACTCCATAATATTTAAGCTATATCGATAATATATTTAAGTTTGCTGTCGGAAATAGAGATAACTGATTGACCAGCAGTCAGGGGGATCAAGATTTTGTCTGAAGGAAGAATTGTAGAATCACTTGCTATATAATGTGATATGTTGTAAATTAAATATGCCAACTAATCCAAGGATATTTTAGTATATCAGCCGAATCGTTATTGCCCATAAACACAAAATAAAACCAGTCTTGGGAGGATACATCAGTACATTTAATGAAGTATAGCAGCAATCTTCGTAGCACATTGTTTCAATTTAGATTTAAATAAAATGTACCACAAAGGCATTTTTATATCATCAACCCCAATCCATTCTAAAAAAACACTACCAAATCAAACCTTTTATCAGTAGCTAAAACCCTCCGCCAGGTCATTTGAGACTTGATATTCGCGAATTGAAAAGCTCGTTGTTCTGATACATGCTGCAAAAAAAGTTGGAATGATTTTATTAGGTATAACGAAACGGAGCAACAAATAAATCTTTATCTTATGCAACATGCAAATGTTTAGCAATCAAAGCAGTCAAATCGCACCACAATGTAGACTAGTATATGTCAAAAAGGTTAGTATACATTTAGAAAACTTCATTATATCCTAATTTTACATCCTGCGCTCTTGAATACAAATACATATTACGTAGCAATCTAACACATTAAACACTCTCTCTTTACTGATGGGAAACATTTTACAAATTCAAAGACACATAAATAAAAGTTATTAACTAATTTTTATACGCCCACATAGGTATGTGGTCGTATATTGTCGTCGCCCCTGTCCGTCCGTCAACATTTCTTGTGAGCAATATAGAGACTACAGTTTTCATCTGATTTTGATAAAACTTGGTGTGATGCCTTAGATTGATAAGATCTCGGTCAAGTTCGAGTTGACATAATTTCGATGAACGGTTTTTGAGATATTGCCCTTGACTTAAAACGCCTTGAAATTTGTTAAAAATAGTTCGTTAGCAGGATTGAAGCTACAGTTTTCATCAGATTCTAATGAAACGTGGTGTAATCATTGGAATTGATAAGATCTCGGACAAGTTCTAATTTGACGCATTTACGATGAACGGTTTTTGAGTTATTGCCCTTGACTTTGTTAAAACGCGTTGAAATTTGTTAAAAATAGTTCGTGAGCAGGATTGAAGCTACAGTTTTCTGGTGTGATCATTGGAATTGATAAGATCTCGGATAAGTTGTAACTTGACGCATTTTCGATGAATGGTTTTTAAGTTATTGCCCTTGACTTTGTTAAAACGCGTTGAAATTTGTTAAAAATAGTTCGTTAGCAGGATTGAAGCTACAGTTTTCAACCGATTCTGATGAAACTTGGTGTGATCATTGAAATTGATAAGATCTCGGACAAGTTCTAACTTGACGCATTTTCGATGTTCGGTTTTTGAGTTACCGCCCTTGACTTTGTAAAAACGCTTCAAAATTTGTTTGTGAGCACAATAGAAGCTACAGTTTTCAACCAATTTGATGAAACTTGGTGTGATCATTGGAATTGATAAGATCTCGGACAGGTTCTAACTTGAGATATTTTTGATGTATGTGTTTTGAGTTATTGTCCTTGACTTTGAAAACACGCGTCAAAAGTTGAT